TAGCGTGCGCGCGATATAGATGAGCACATAAATAAAAATGACTTTCGATGCACGTACCTCCATGCTAGTAGTTTGGAGATATCACGCAATTTTTTAATAAGCGTAAGCACTGCGCGAAAGAGAGCTGGTACACGTGGGGATATTTATCATGGGTTCCGCGTGAAAATTGAAATGTATGGGTTTGCGACCAATCATCTCGCGTTGACGATTCACACATCGTAAATCTTGCGAAGAAAAAACAATCAATAGCATATCTCCAGTATTTTTCTCTAATGATGACTAATAGTCAGATTATAGACAATGGCACAAATAAAATCGAAAAAAAATTAATCTAAGGGAGACGGAAAGAGAGGCCGGTTTTCATTAGAATTCAAATTTATAAGATACATAAAAATATAAACAAGAAAATTTTAAATCTGGATTCAGTTAAAATCTAAACATAGTACAGAACATCTTGTGTATACCGCAAATTAGGGATCCTGTACATTACCGCAAATTATACAGCAACTACCCTTGTCACATATCTTACTAAAGAGCAACGTCACACAAAGGTATTGTATGCATGCGTAGAATTATATTAGCTCTAACAAGCGGAAATAATTACTGATGGATGATTCTTGTGTTTCGTGTATAAAATAAAAAAAATTGAGTAATCAAGAGTATAATTTCTATCGCTTAATCCGTTTGTTCGCGACGATTTGATCCGAACACCGGGCTGCTTTTAAGCCGATTTCCGAATAAATCTCTTTAATTAAAAGTCTCATTAATAATTGGAAACGTTAATTGAAAGTCCTATTAGCATGATATAAGTGTCGAGTAGCCTTAAATCAATTGGTAAGCAAATAAACTTTCCCGCCATACGATTTCTAAATTAATTACTAAACGTAATAGATACGTCTATTTATTTACTTTTAATCACGTGGCACTTCATACAACGTTTAAATAAAGACTGTCGTTATTTATTCTATATTAAATAGCGTTGTTTTTTATATATTATTTATTTTTATATATTAAATTGTCACTTTTAAGGTAAATATTGATAGATTCTTCACTTACTAATATCATTTTTAGCAAAAGCAGTTAAAAAATTCTTTTTCTAATGATAAAACAATGCTTAGAGAATTAAAGACTATTCTTTAAAATATACGTATTTTTTTTTAAATATAAATATGTAATCTCTTTTCTCTCTCTCTTTCTCTCTCTCGTTTTGTACAAATCTGTAGAAAGGTAAAAACATAAGAGTAATATTTCTATTAAATTTCAACGAGAAATAATTCATGGCTTGCATAAGAAAGTTGACGGTGTAAATGCGCTTTCATTGGAATTTCCACGGAGTGACCCATTGTATCAGGAAATATTTTAAAGACGACCGTGCAACAAACTCTTGAGTTTGCCTTCTAGGAAATCGCAAGGAGTATTCGAGATCGTAATTTATAGCGCGGAACGCAATCGCTTTATTTCGGCTTGACTAAATTTGCCGCTTCCAACTCGCCTCGTCCGCCAGTTATGTTTACGCGCGGCGGAACTTACAAAACTTAACTGAATTAACTAGTTAACAAGTAGATTATGCACACGACATTTAGCTGCCAACTTCGTTGAGCTCGACAGACTTACAGTTTTCCGTATCAAAATACGAAGTAACCCGTGGAATTCGCCGTAAATTAGAAGCAAAACTACGTCCTGTTATGCTCTAAAGAGCATAGGGATGTCTGATTAATTATTTAATAATTTACATTAACCTCTGCCGTTAGTACGTTCTAATTGAATTTATGGCGAAACAAGCTATATTTCGCGTATATTGTGTACGTTAATTCTGAAGCATGCACGTTGAGGTATTCTTTTATCCCAGAGAAGATTGCCGACATATTTCATTTCACATCCCGTTTCTCTTTAGAAAGATTGAAAAATTGTACTACTTCTATTCATCCAGAAGAGACTGACTGGCCTTGTTTGAAAAACAATATACCTGAATTAAAATATTTATTAAATAAAAAATATTGCGGAACCATATGAAATTCCTAACTATTGAACGAGAGATATTTTCGTCTCGCGATATAACCAGTACGTATGTACACTGCACACGTACGTGATTGCAGAGAATATAATTTATTTTACGATTTTATTTAATTATTACCATAGCCATACCCATGTTTTATAATACAGGCAGTAGTATAAATCACCAACAATTTCACAATTGCTAACACGCGACGAATTATTATTACGCGCGGCGGTGCCCATGAAAAAGCCATCCTTTTATAATACATTGGATTTACATATTTTTCATGAAAAATTGAGAATAATTTTCTCGAAATATTCATAAAAGAAAATCCTTTATCCCGATGCGTTATACATAAACAATTATCACAAAGGAAAAATTTTTTAATTAAATGCAGTCTCAAATTGATTATTTCTTCATTGTCATATATTTGAATATTTCTTATTCCATTTGGCATATTAGTTTAATAAAGGTTATATAATGGATCTGCTATAAATAATTGATAAATATTATTTAAATTTTTTTTAATTGTTACATAAGTAAAAAAATTCATATCAAATTTTCTAAGGAATGCAATCCTTGATAAAAATTACTTTGAAATTTTTTCGATGCATCGAGTGTATATTCAATGCGTAATAAATTTAGTAGAGCATACAATTGAAATAATCTATAATCCAATGTCTGTTGTTTCCTGTAATGAGAAATCATTTGCTATATAGATGAAATAGCAATTGCGTTTAACGTCGAAACAATGCTTTGGATAAACAATAAATGCCTTCACCACCACACCACACAATTTTGTGTTTCACAAACCAACGCTATAGACGTTATTGCTCATTAACGTGACGTATAAAAGCGGTTTGGTCGCTATCGACGCACACGTAATTTTCGCGATAAATATATCTAACTTAAAATTTTTGCATTTACTGAACGTTAATATAACCGCATCAAAAATCGTACGAGCTTGCGACCAAACATCCCTGTTTATACAGCGAACCGCAAAACATGTCAATTATTCCCAATTGTATTCTCCAACTTCAAAGAGAGCTGATTATCGTTTCATAAAATCACGTCACATCAATCGCAACATTTATTCTCTTGTTATTTTAACATATTTTGTAAATTTTTGGATTTTTTCAACTCACGAGAAAGGTCGAGAGAGAGAAAAAGATATAAACAAATATAATAACGAATTTTATTATTACTTAATTTTCGATTTAATTAATTTAATAATGTAACGACCATGGGATTTTTCAAACATAAATAATCTTATATATGTACATAACTGCATATTGCACCGATTGGTTTTTTAATGCGCGATACACAGATTAAAATGCAAAATTCGCATTGCGTGATGAAACATTTTACGTAACATTTTATATGCAATTCTCATATTTCAGTTATTTTGTATTAGAGATTACGTGTGAATTAGATATCGTTCGGAATGGATTCTACCGTTGCGTACAGACAGAGAGAAAAAAAAGTATCAAATCACGCAGTGTGTCGACGCGCGTGTACGCGAATCGATTTGAAAAGAGCAGCCCGACGGCAATTTTCCGGGCGTCCCGGGCGAAAAAACCGCCGCGTGCGCGTCACAAAGCGTAAAATGTATAGAGCGTGCTGTCATAGAACACTGACACGGCGCTGACGAAATAAGCGGACAGGTGCGGACGACTGGCCGATAACCCGATGACCCGGATACCTTGGATGATATCGATTAACCGTCGAATGTTCGTGCTACGACCATCAAACGCGTCGGCACCTCGTGTGTGTCACCCCCTTTTCCCTTCACAGCCCGCTATTTTCTGACCGTCGTCTGTCCCTCGAACTCTATAGTCTGTAATACTCGATCTCTTGTATCTCTTGTACTTACCCGACCTCGCCTGTCGTCTCCTCTGGTCTCCTCGCTCAACCGCTCGGCCTGTCCGTCCATCCATCCCTCGGTTACATCCCTTCTCGTCCCTGCTGCGCAACGAAATTGGATTTATGGCTTTATTTTCCTCCTTTGCGGACGACGTCTATCAGCAGATTGCTCGCTGAAAGCGCTGCTTCGTATTACGACGACATAATGGACGTCCCGTGCGACCTTCCGCGCTGCAAACGTAGCGTAATCGAAAAATCTTAAACACAAACACGATAACGGACGCTTTGTTATCTCTCTTTTTTTCCTACGTTCGTCTTGAAACGATCCTTCCGAAATTTGACCGTTATATTACGTTCTCGGTTCTGATGTACAATAATTATAATCTAAATCCAAAAACTCTCCGCTAAAACCTGTTGGTTAAAAGATGAGCTCTCGCTTTCTATTCACGTTCAGAAAATAGAACATGTAATTTCTGGAAATTTTCAGCTATCGCGAAAGTACGAGATCTATTAATATTTCGACATTTCTGCAGAATCGTTTCAGCACTTGACGAGAATAAATATGTATAAACTATAAATACGTAAAACATAGCGCGATATTAAAGTCTGTTTTCTAGTCGATTCTTATATATTTAAGACCGTCTCAAGAAGTCTTGGGACACAGAATTTTAAGATTAGTATCTTAAAACATTACTTAAGAACGGTTTTAAAATAAAAACAAATTAAAAATACCAGCCTGAAATAATTACTACTTTGGCGCGTCATTCTGAAATATTGGGCGAAATGTTACCCGCCATTTTGCGATACTGAAGCACTGCGTCATACATTCTTTACGCATTTTCGTGCATTCTTACTTCTGTTTCCTCATGCCAGACGTACGTTATGTCTGCCTCGTTCAATCACGAAAAGTGACGAAGGGACGTAATGAACAATGAAATAAATAACAATAATTCAGTAATTTACCTGGCGCTCCGTCGCGCCGTTCAACTACAAGCCGACCACCGCCGTGTTGCAACCGCTTCGGTCTGAACTGAGGCGTAAAGAGCCGAGCCCTGCCGAGCACGGGCGATCGACCGATCATGTGACCGAATGAAGTTGGCGTCTGCTTGATTCGCGCGCTTTTCTCCTTCCTCACCTGTTGCGTTCGGCGAGATGCGTCGCGTGTGATTGTTTCGATTTTCTTAGAGAAGTACGAAAGTCAGTGACAGCTTCACACTCGTGACGAGTTTTGTGTTGGAGTTTCGAGTGTATGTGTATGTCTCGTTACGAGAAGTGCGGAGTGCTTACTTTACGCGCGCTTATTTCTTCCCGCGTCGCGACATAACCTACAATTTGATGTGACATCGTCACCGGTGTTGGACATTTCGCAAGGTAAGTATAAAGGATCTGTTGTCGTCATTAAATTGAGTGTTTGGAACAAAAGCCGTATCGTTAATTTGGGGGAAAAGAAACTTGGCTGTTGTCAGTGCTTTTTGTGAAGTGATATTCTTAAAGGAGCCGTGTATTTGAAAAAAGATTAGTAACAACTTTTATATTTTAATTTCTCATTGAGAGATGTTAAGAATGTCAATTTAAATACGTTTTTTCTATTTTTAAATATATATTTACTGGATATTGTTATTTTAAATAAAAAAGGAGTAGACTAACGAAATTAAAAAAGAAATAATGTGTGTCATTGTTATTCACAACAGTTACTGTAGTCGTACACATAAAAATTACTCGATATGATCTCTTAATTGAGCTTTAGAGATAAATATTACATACTGAAATTTTTGCAGTTTATATTGCCCAAGCATGGCAATGCTAGATTATCTTTCTGCTGAACTCACTGCCACTTGTGCTGCAATTGGATATTATGATGGAACTACTTACCATTTAGACAAGAATTGCTTAGGTAAAGATTTACTTTGATTTGTTTTGAAATGACATATTAAAGTGAGATAAAATATTTAATAGTATATCAATTTTTTAATAGAAGTTATAAAGGATCTTATCAGATATCTTAAAAGAGATGACGATACACATACTATAAGACGCTTTCTTGGACAAACAAGATTACTTCAGACAGATCTTGTAAAGATTCTTATACATCATGTTAAAAATATTGAACTTTGGGATGTTTTGTTGCGGTACGTGTTAGTGTACAAATAGAGTTAAATATATTGAACGTTATGACTCACAAGTAGAGTTGAATATATTGAACGTTATTACTCACAAGTAGAGTTGAATAAATATATTCAATATATGAACCATAACTCCCATACTTTATGTAAGAACATAACAATATGTTATTTATCTATTTCTTTTAAACAGATTACTTATTAATTTGACAAGCTCTGCGTTTGTAATTTACAATGAACAGATACCTACTGAAAAAACAATGCGTAGTTTCTATCAACAAATTGTTACATATTTACAAGAGTATAAAGCAGCGTTAACCGATGAGAATGTGTGGTTGGCAGTGGCTGGTCGTTTGGGGACTCTATTTAACATTGTAAGTGGAGAAATTTTATGTCCTTGTAATGCACACAGATTTTATCAGTGTTTTAAGATAATTTTTACTTTTTAGGATAGTAAAGAAAGAGAAGAAGAAAACGAATTAACAATTGAAAGAATTCTTGCTTTTATTAGAAATGTATTGCAAGTGCCACCTAATGACAATGATAAAAGAGCTGATAATGATGCCACTGTTCATGATGAGGTGAATTATGTCAACATTCAAATTTTTTTATTCTTTAAATATGTTACATCGAATATTGTTTTAAGTGGCATACATAAATTTTTTTTGTAGCTATTATTTGCATTTCATGCATCTGGTATAGTGGATATTATATTATTTATTGTTAGTAACAAGAATGAACAACAATACCACATGCAAATTTTAGAGGTATATACAGCACATTAGTTATATTTATCTAATTTTTATATTTTATTTATATATTTTATTTCAACATAATTCTATAAAAATACTGTTACTAAGAACTTATTGTTTATTATTCGTGAACTTGTTATTCGTAAATAATATTTTCATACTTTGCTAGATTATATCTTTAATGTTACGTGAGCAAAATGCAAGTTTGTTGGCTGCATCTGGATTGCAACGTAGCACCGCTGAAAGAGAAAATGACGAGGCTAGTCTCGTAGCCTTGCGACAAAAAGAGCTACGTGAAAAAATTTACAAAGTAAAAAAGTACGCTGGGTCAAGGTGAGTTTATATGTATTATTATTTATAAATAAAAAAATTATTAAAATTTATCGATAAAATAATATGAGTAATTGAGTGTTCTACAGAATTTATGCGTATGTACAATACATTGCGATTCTTTGTGTCAAAAGAAACACTTTTCCACTAAATTACATCCAAGTAGTTATTTTTAAATGAGAGTAATTTAAAACTCACAAATGAGCGCTTTAACAATAAGGTACGCATGAATCAGAGACATTACACTGGACTTATATACGCTGTTTTATTATTTCTTTTAAAGATTTTTATAATGACTATGCATGATATCTAGCACAAAGAATTGCGTTATGTATTTTATATACACGAATTCTGGGATACTATTCTGTATACTATCTATACAATGTTAAAAACAAAATTACATTTGTTTTACTTGTGCTATAAATTAAATAATAATTAAAAATCAAGAAAAAAAGAGAGATATATTGTGTAAATTAATTTTTCTCTAATTAATTTAAAATAATTTCTTTAATATAAAACAATACAAATGTAGTTATGAAATAAATAGGATTTATACGACACATGTTTACTTAAAAATTTGTTTTACTTGAAAAAAATTCGTTAAAAATTAATGATATTCGAATTAAATTTGCCTTTTTTAAATATGTACTTCTAATTTTATTTATTTAATATGACAACGTCTTGTCATAACAACGTTTGTGAACTTAATTCAGTTCTATTCATACATTAGCTTTATTATCCGTACGTTTTCACTGTGATACACGGGAGAATGCATTTAATGCGAATAGCTACCGCGTAATTATCACTTTAATGAGCGGCCACAGCTAAAAGCCTGTGATCGTAAAAAAGGGATGACTAAAAGGCGCCGATTGCTACTTGACGGATGCCTTTGGGAGTTACCGTGTGTTCGCGATACGATATGCGTATAATGAATATGACCTAGTTTTTAAGGTAGGACCACCCGAAGCATGAATAGAAGCTTTTATCCACTTGTTGGAGAGAAGCGAGCCGTATTCTTGTAACGAGCGCGTTCCAGAAGCCTGTGAATGCGCGCATCCACGTCTTCGCGAAAGGCTTTTTACGAGTTGAAAGGGACTGGATGCGGTGAAAAGATCTCTCCGCCTTCCGCGTGTTCTCAATCGATCGATGGAAAGATAATTTGATCGGAAAACGATAAAGCAGCGCCTAGCTGTGTCACGAACACAGATCTCTTTTTGATAGCAATAGTAAACATAGGAACAAAATTGGATAGCAGCTAGTGTACGTGCTCGCCGTATTTTTATTTATTGTGTTTCCACAATATTCTCACATATTGTGTGCGCACACACACACACACACACACACACACACACACACACACACACACATTATACATATGTACATTTTTGTACAGGAAGTATTTTAATATTTGAGATTGTTTTTTTTTAAATTCGTAATGTTTTTACATAGCTAAATGCAAATTTAAAATTATTTTGAATTTTATTTGTGATTATGCCATCGATAAACTTTTCGAAAATTTAGCTATTTGTTTAAATAGAGAAGAATGATGGACATGAACTTCTCTCGTAAGAAAAAAAGTATAAGAAAATGGATAGGGTTCGCGTCTTCGTCATTTAGGAAACTATCTGTTGTTGACAGCTGCTCTCTATTCTATTGATTGAATCTTGATTTTTGCTCATGGAATCATGGCTGAAATTGAATTCGAATGACCAGTTCTCTTTTTAGTAGCAAAGGACCGCATTATACTCGCTTCTCAATTCGTAGAGACGATAAAGAAGGGAGACGCGAAAGCTAAACAAGAAATCCAATCTTTATTTGAATCGTACATATTATTCTTCCGACGTTGTATATCATATTCTATTACACGTTATGTTTACATTTAAAAAGTTCAAAAATATATTTTATTTTATGAATAACTTCAATTTCTGATATTATATTTTTATTTTATTAATTAGACACTCACGATTCGGCGGTACTTATGTCGTGCAAAATATGAAAGCTATCGGAGAAAATCAAATGATATGCCATAAACCGTATCAAAAAATTGAAGCAGTGGAATTTGGTCACGATAAGGTAAATTTTGCAAGTTGATTACTAATTTGTAACCTTTCCCTGTCTTTCTGTTTCCGACAATGTAGAGATAGCTCAGAGTTCGTATTCTTGAAAAATATTGCATACAAAAATATTCAAGAATACTATAGTATGCGTTACGTATATTACAGATTTTCTTAGTATTTTTGTATGTGATATTTTTTGAGATTATGGCTCCTTATTGTGTGTTATATTCGAGTTTTATTTGAACGAAATTGTCGAGTATGAATAGAAGGCACATATCTTTTTCAACAGAAAAGAGTGAAGCGACGCAGAGATAAAATGAGCCTGCAAGACGCCAAGGAAGAACGCACGTCTGTCCTCAGCGTACGGCTCTTTCTAAAAGAATTTTGTGTAGAATTTCTAAGCGGAGCTTACAACCCCGTGATGAAATTCACTCGATCTTGCTTCATCAATGACCCTCATGGCCAAGCAGTGGAAGCAGCTGTCTATCTGTGGGTCTTACGTTTCTTCATGGAGTTCAATCGACATTACAAGTTTCAAGTGAAATATGTAAGGTAAATCTTCGCGCTTTAAGTTTCTCATAGTGTAGTCTACATTGTCGCATACCTCGGCTAAAGAGGCAGAAAGCGAGACAGTTTACGAACTCGTTTTACGCATCGTCGCTTTCTTTCGGATCTTGTCTAGAAAGAAAATTCTCCAGCGTCCGCGCGAACAGGCTGAACCATCTAACTTTATGTCATAGAATAATTTTTACAACGATTTTGAATGGAATTAAATGTCATAGAATGTCTATATTAATATAATTTTTTTGAAATGATAAACATTTATTTAAATTATTTTTTTGTATCAAAGGTTTGTTAAAATTTATTTATTAAGCTAGATCTGTACTGATCCTATACATATATTTACACATTTCTTGATTAAACAATGTATGTATGTTATATAGTTCGTATTTTGTTTACAATTCGTTAGCTACGATATACGCCAATGTATATAATCCTCCATTTTTGTTGGATCAAATTTTATTGGCAGATTGATTCACTGGTATCGATTTTTGTTACAATCATAAAACTAGAAAAAAAAGTTATTTTTATTTTATATATTCTTTGCACATTTAAAAAATTTGAATATTTTGTATTATTAATCGTAAGTTCCCGAAAAAGTACGTTAAAAAATGATTTATTTTACTATCTAGCGAAACTATATCTACAGAAGTGTTTTATTTAGTGCAAAGACAAATGGACCAATATTATGAGATGATAATAGTCGATAAAAAAAAGATACCACTTTGGTCTCGTAGATTACATTTGGCATTAAAGGCGTATCAGGTAGGAATTTTATGATAATTAGTATTAACGTAAATGAATATTTGAAGAAGCTAACAAAAATACATCTCACGTTTTAGGAACTTCTTAACACTCTTATGGCAATGGATAAGAATAGCGATGATGGTGTTAGGGAATCTAGCAAGATAATTAAAAGCAATATCTTTTATGTCCCGGAATATCGGGAAACGATACTCTCTCAGCTTTTGTGCTTCGATGAAGTTAAAATGTCACGGTGAGTTAATAGAACTTCGTCATCATTATTATTATTATCGCAAAAATAGATTGTAAACGTCGCATAAATAAATTGTGTAATTTTATCGTTTTGATTACTACAAAAGTAAAAAATTGAAAGTGGCTTGAAACATTTTAAAAAGAAACTAATAGAAATTACGAAGGGAAAAAAAATTATTAAAAGGAAAAAAAATTGATTTCATAGTTATGCTTTTATTATTTTTAATTGTCAGTCATTCCCCTTTTAATTTGGCAGAATAAGTCGCTAATCCTTCATGAATCCCTCGCAAATTTCTCGTGAATTTTTAGCAGGCTGTAGTAACGTGATGCAGATATCACAAAAAGTTATGCGACGCGTCATCCTACGCTGAACAATGCACGTCTCTACCGAGCAAATTCGCGTCATGGAGAGAGGAGAGAGAGAGAGAGAGAGAGAGAGAGAGAGAGAGAGAGAGAGAGAGAGAGAGAGAAAGAGAGAACTCTTTACCGAAAGTTTTATCTACCGCAGACAGATTGATTCACTTTCGGATCAATCGGTTCGACCAGCCAGGAAGCCACTCTGGCTCCCTCCGATGCTGTTCCTTTTCGACTATTTCTCTTCTTCGGCGGCTGGTCTCGGTAGCTCGCACCCACCCGGTTTCTTCCTCCCTTCTACGGTTCCTCGGCGGAATAAACAACTTTTATCGACCTTCCGGCCGGCGAAATGGGAAAAGGCGGTGGGCGTTCAACTTGCTACGAGTTTGACGGGTTTTGCGCGGATTTCCACGACGGAAATGTAAGGGTGGCGCGACGTACCGCAATGCCACATTGCTGCTACTTTGACATTACAGGGACGCTGACGAAAACAGGACGACGGCTCCGTCAAACTTTAGCTTTGATGGCGGTAGCGCGCGTTGCCGGAACTAAATTGACAAATTAATGCGCGAGTAGCAGGATTGAATTAATTTCTTGTCACAAGGAAGGAAGGAAAGCGGTTTAAGTTTACCATCGGCTTAAAACAATGTAATTACATGAATATGCTTATCTTTTAGGCAGTACTTAGTGGATCTTATCACAACTATTCATACATTTCTGAAAATGCTTGAACATTACTGTCGGAAAGGCCAGCGACATCTCGTAGTTCAAAAAATAAAGTTAAAGAGAAAAAAAGCTAAAAAGGGAAAAAGTAAGATTTGTTTTTGTATTGTTTAGAAGAATTTAAAAATAATATTAAATAAAATTTGATATGCACGTATAAAATTGTTTAATTTCTTTTAACCAGAGTCTACTCAGGAAAACGTAACTACAGCTCCTACTTTGGAAGAACGTTGGGATATTATTGGTCCCGAATTATCTGCTGTTATGCGCGATGCCGTTATACCTGTAGTAGTGCCGTTTGACGCAACCTTAGACATGCCTATCGACGATCAAAAGTACGTGTTAACATTAATAGTTAAGTAGAATAATATTTACATTTATTATTGATGTATTTGTTGAAATGATTGAAAATATATACTTGTCTACGATTTCTTTTTTGTTCTGATTGTAGAACGAACGCTATGAAGAGAATTCAGAAATTAATGCGACAAAGAAACTTGGAACAGGCAGTTGGTCTTCTACGTGCAGCAAGGTAAGAGATTTGTTTATTTTGAGAAGTGATTTCTAGAAAGTAGCTCGTTGTCATGAAACTCGTGCTGAAGCGATGGCAATGTTGTTCATTGTTGTTTATTTTGAGAATCAGTTTTGCACCTAAACCATTGTCATGCAATGCGACGAGTGAGTTACAAAGTAACGACATCTCTGTTACTTTGTTTAATTGAAATGCGACAGATTACTTGCATTAAAATATTGTATATAATTATAATATCTCGCTTGCAACATCGTAATTTATGTTCTAGATGATTAATACATATGTAAATTTTTATGGAATTTTTAATTTAGTCGTGATAAAAAAATCTTCTATTTCCTATCTCTGGATTTTTTAATTTTTAATTCACGTTATTTTTTAACAATATATTAATAGAAATATCTTTGTTTTTTTATCTTTTTATACATTTATAACGCTTATATTTTTGTAAGGGAATTTAACAGTTTTCGATTACAAAAGATATATTTTCGAGGTAAGTCAGTTAATTACGGGGATTGTGCAGGCTTTGTTTTGTCAAACAAAGGCGTTCATTATGTTAGGGTTAGAGGGTCAGTAAGAACATGGGATTTATTCACGTAAACTTGATGAATTTTGGATCCTTTGAGCCAAGCGCGTATATAGTATATACGAAATATAACATAAATAAAAGTAAAATAGAGATAGTAATATAATAATGACGTAAATACGCGTATATATTAATATACTTTCTGATTACATAACAAAAGTTATGATTCGGTTTATTCTTTTTTTCATGTTATTTATAATATTTTCTTGAATTATTTATAAGTATTGTATATATAAAATCATATGATATACTTAACCAAGTTCGTTTATTATCTTACTATTTTTATTAAAAAAATTAATTCTTAAAAAATGTTCTATAAAAAAATGGTTGATGAAAAACTTATTACTCTCTTGTGATTTTCGTTAGACTTGATCATAATTCCTGTAATATATTAATTACGCTTATTGAGCTATTTGAGATTTTTTTTGGCTTTGTGCACCGACCAGTCACACGGCCAATTAACTGGCGAAAAGCCAAGCGTTTGCACTGCCGCAGATATTTACATTACATTAAATCTGAAAGGGATCTACCGCGCTCTTGTAACGCGTCGGTATACACCGGTTCATCGGGGTGAACCGGTACCCAACCAACTCTTTGAAGTGTTCCAGCTCTAAATGTGCCTATGAGTCATGTCCCTCCGTCAACTTGTTTCTGCGTTCTACCTCGCCAACCCTTCTCCCTCTAAGGCTTAATCGCTGCCTCGATGCTTTTCTGCGAGATTCGATATACCCTTCGCTGATAAACTCCGTCGACGTGTAAATAGATTCTTTACGCGGCTTGTCTCAAAGCATTTTCGCTTTTACGCTATAAACGCGTATATAGATCGTGTATGTCTTAAATTTTCTTTATACAGAATGACTCAATAAATATAAAGAAAATAACTAATTTATCATCTAAATTTCACAATCTGAAATTATCTCGTCAGTGACATTTAAAAATAACCGTTGTGCGCTAAGACGTTAGTTTTAATTGAGGATACCGGATACAAGGCGTTGTACCATTAATCTTTAACTTTATTAGTTCTATCAGATTGGAGTGCCGTGATATAACCGCGGGGATAAAAGTCGGGTTTATCGTCACTGCCTTCCTCTATCATAAAACTATGAAATTATAGTCCCTTCCGCGATTTTTCTTTACGTGATATCATCGCTGCGAACTACTTTAGGAGATTGTACGTAGTATTCCGTCGTCCATTTTATGGGGGTAATGTTTACTATGGCCGGTACACAATGGTAGTCTGTAGGACCATGCCGACCTTGTGCACACAAGGGGATAAAAGTAGCAGACTGTTGGCTACGGCCATACATAGACTACGCCTAGGCGCAGACAATATTGTTAATAAGGCATTTACGGTAATACGTAGGTACGTAAGACAAACAGTGTAATACCCCCTATTCTCTTCGCGTACACGTCTTCGTTTCTCGGTTACGATAGTGCTTCTGGTAATCGTGTTTCGTTTGCCTAGCAAATACTCCGTCGTCTGGCTACTGGTTTTAGCCCTCTAATTTTCCATTTGCACCGTCTGCGACTCTCCAACCCGTACAGTGATTTTAACTTACGAATTGCGTAAGATGATTACGACTTACTATGAAAAAAAAATCTGCTTCAATTTATCATTTTCTTTATATCTAATCGCAGTGCAGTAATGATTTCATTGTTTGCGAAGCTTGAAATTTCCTTTCACTATATATTTTAGGATATGATTAATATGTTGAAACAAAATCTAGTTTATTTAAGAACATTGGAAATATGTTTCTAGAATAACTTTGTCTTCTTGCGTACAGTTAGGAGGATAATAAAAAAAAAAGAGAAGAATATCTGTAGGGAGAAATCTTGGAGAGAATCCTTAAAGAGAACTTGTAAGAAGTATGATAATGTAAATACATGTAAGTGCTTCTCTGTGACAATTTAATATCCAAGTCCGAAGGCTGATTCATCACTTTGAGTCTTTGCCAAGCATGAAAATGGACGTGTCGAAATTATCTATTTCATGTCTGGCAAAGCGGTATCGGCTTGTATGTCGGAACGCTGAGTCGGAGGACGACGACGACGACGCCGGCGACGACGACGACGATGACGACGACGGGCACGGCGCGGCGCGTCTGAGAGATTCCATTGTCGCGGAACTTCAAATCGAGGGATAATGGGGATTGTATGCTGCTGAATTTCTATTCAGGAAGCCAGCAGCCAGCAGCCAGCACCAGCGTCGTACGAGCCACTTCTTCCGCTTCGGGGACAGCATCCTTCCTCTTCTTTTGCGTCCTCTTCTTTTGCGTCAGCTTATTGGATTCATCTTCAGCGAAGAAAATTTCGGAAAGCTTTCCGAAAGTGGACCGGACTCTCTTGACCTGCGAATCTAAAATGCGTTATACAGCGCGACTCGTGATTAGTGTATGAAACGATAAGACTGAATTTCTTATCCAAATGGCAATTATAAAAATTAATGAATATTTTTTTATAATTAAGTTTTAATAATGTAAATCAGTAGTGAGAAAATATATTTTTCTAATTTCAAGTTGGTATTACTACTTAGTCAAAAATAGACGCTTTAATTATTATATAGACTCAATTAATTTAATATATATTCAATATAACTGAAATCAAAAGAATCAACTACAGTCGAATTTTATAATGGTTTTTGTCCTAGATTTTACTTTATTTTTAGTGTTTTGTACGCTAGCTACGACTCGACTAATGTGCACTATATGGATTACGTGTTTGCTCGCGTGTAAACGTGGATGGATCATGTCCGAACTTGATTTCAATCCGAGTCGTATATTGTAAAACGTATAGATGTGTGTCGCGTGTATACGCATAAAACGAAACGCGTTCTATGTGCATACGTATCCGCGTTAGAATCGTCCATACGCTTCGCTTTTATATAGTACAATTGCAACTAAGTGCGATTTCATGTCAAGTGACCAAATCCAATTCTCTGGATTTTAATGCGACTCCAGCTCTATTAGGACGAAGTAAAGTAGAAACGATTTTCATTATCAATCGCGCAATTCTATGACAATGGAAGGAAGAAGAAAAGATTTTTATCGCCATTGTTATTTTTACAACTGAAAGCTATATGATTACAGTGCAAAAGTATTGATAAAGAAATCCATCATCGTAATATTATAATTTTTATTGTACTCTTTATAGTTTGTGATTCCTTATCTCTTTTCTGTTTGAATATGCAAATATTGAGTTTAATCACCTGTAGAATTTTTTCATAGTTATAATCTTTTCACGGAAAGATCTTGCTGAATTAGCTAAAAATTTAACTACATATACAGAGATAAAAATAATTTTATTGGACCATCCAAATAATTATGTAGAATGTTCAAGCTAAGATAAAGTTAAAATGTTTTTGCAACGTTGCTTATCATGCTTGAGCGTTATTATTTTGATGATTCAACAAAATTATGTTTAAATCTGCTTTTAGCTTTTTGAATACTTTAACAAAACCGTTGTTACTATGTGGCTGCAAATTTTTGTAGTTTATAATACTTGATTCGATGTATTTAAAACTGGAATTGAATAATAATAATTATAATTTCTCTCTCTCTCTCTCTCTCTCTCTCTCTCTCTTTCTCTATCGTAACAATCTTAATAATCTTATAATCTTTATATATTTGCCAATACATACTTACAGAGATATTTAATAAAATATATTGACAAAAAATTTTATAGATATTTAAGTTTGCAAGAAAATAATTCTCAATTATTAAAAAAAAAAATTTTATATGATAAATAAATTAGAAATTGTATAACAGCACAAAGTTCTTTTCTCATGAGAATAGTTTTTTACAGTGAAGCTGTATATATTTTTTATATATAATTAAAAAATTGTAAATAAATGTTTTCAGTATACATTTAAAACGAATGAAGTGATATTTGAGAATCATACCATTGTGTAATGTAAGGTTAAAAGTGTTCCAGCATTAGCTACACCTTTCTTCGGAGCGTTCCTGAAAACGTGACTTTACCTTTGTTTCCTAGTCACGTTCGCACATGACCATCTGTTTTCTTTTTTCTGAATTCTCATAAAGTATATAGGGTGTCTTACACCCTTACAACTAAGCCAGCTTTTATATGTCTTGGATGTAATTTTTTTTAAATAAAAGTGTGTAGAGGGACCAATGATTTGTAAACTATGAGAGATTGGAAATAAGTACTGAAACAGTTATATTATACAAAGTAAAATAAAAAATATTTTATACAAAAAATAAAATTATTAAAAGTCTTATTTGGAGAGAATTATATTATTTTTTTTTTAGTATATGTGAGGTCATATAACTCAATTTTTATCAATTTTGTAGTTAGTGAATTTTGCAAAATTTCTGAATCGCAAATGCATGTCGTGGTAAATTTTAATGATAAATTTAACAAAATTTAAATATATATATATATTGGCTTGCTTCGTTGCTATTTTTATCTTCGAAAGTCTTTCTTCTTTCTTACGTGCCTCTTCTCTATTTCCTCGTCCAACGATGGCGGTGGCACTTTCCGCTTTGTGGCCCTAAGATACACAGATACTTTGTAAAGGAGATGCATATGTGTCAGTATCAACGATAGTGTAGATAGCGTAGATAGGTGGGTCGACGAAGAATAAGGGTTGGGTGTGAGCACTTGACGCAAGGAGTCCGATGTTGGTGTAGATCGTGGTGAGGCTCTCATGCTCAAAGGAACCTTCTATGAGACTCATTGAGTTTGCCACTTGGACTTCTCATCGCGTTGCTACTCTGCACCAAATCTTCCTTAGTCGTATATTTTCAGATAATGAATTTCTTTTATTTAATCATATCAAGATTATTGAGAATTTATGAATTTATTATTCCATACATTATTTATAGGATTAGAAATTTTTTATGAATATGGAACTTTTGATGATATTGTAATTTAGAAAAAGTGTTACAACTTTTTACAAAGAATTTTATCTGATTTAAAAAATGTGATTTCATATAATGTTATCAATATAATATTACAAAATAATTAATGTTTTCATCTCGCGCGGTCCATGGTAAAAAGATTCAACTACAAATAATTTTCAATATTTAATATATCGAACCTTTTATGAAATATAAAGTTTGTGCAGTTTGTAATTAGTTTTATATATATATATATGAGAATTTACATTGCTGAACTTTAGAGCTAGTAAACTGTTTATGATGGCGTAACGTACCATGCTTTTAAGTTGTTGCCAAGCTTCTCTTACATTATAGTTATTATTAATGTAATTATATTAATAACTATAACTTATTAATGTAATTATCAATAATTTACTCAAGAATATTAAAAATAGATATTTGAATAAAATTATGTTACAGAGAAATCTGGCCCGAGAATGACTGTTTCGGAAAAGTGGATATACTTCCCGAGGAAGAATTTCTAGCTCTTCGCGAAATCTTCTTTGCAGATCTGGGTGGTGAGTTATTTTATTTTTAATTTTATATTTTTGATAATAAACATAAATATTTCTTAATAATGTTCTTAAGATCATATAAATAAAATTTGTGACAATATACGTTACAATACGAGTATATATTAACTGGATAGGAAATAAAATATGTATTGACAATTATTAGCAACTCATTCGCGATGGATTTAAAATTTAGTACTTTAAATTCTTTAAAAGCACGGGTTGTTAACATTTTTTACTCTCTTGAGGATTGCCAGTACAACTTCAGTCTATCGAGAAACTTATATCCTGTCTGCATATATACCCTGTGAGAAAAGAGTAGTCTCCTGCTTTACGTCCGCCTAATTATAAAGAGCAAAGTCTGTTATTAAGTTAAAGCATGGAAGTAATGAGCTGTTTTCCTTCCTTTACGAAGGAGAGTTCGTTACGACTGCTGATTTATTGAATTATAAAGTTTGCTCAATATTTTGGAAGAAAAACTTGAACGTGCACGAAAGTGTACTAATAATTGCCTTTTTTCTACATTTTTTTTTGTTAAGAAAGCATCACGAGAGAAGAAAGATATATTAAATATACGAATTTATTGGAGGCTTTAGCAAGGACGATTTGTAATAACTGGCGCATATATCACGACACAAATTTAATTAAACGCGCCGTTGGTATTCATTTCACGCGCCTAATTTATGTGTGAATAACTACGCTATTCAGTGCTGAGATTTCGCGACGATTCGAGCTCGCCATGTATTTATCTCTGTATATTACCACTACAATAATAGCTGTCATAAACGTTTAAAATCTTTTAATTTTAATGTTATACTTTTACAAACAAGTGCTTATTTTAATGAAAGAAGATAATTGTTGCATTTTAAAACTTCTCTATGTTTTAATTTACAACGTAAATTATTTTATTCTACAAAAATTGCCACTGTTATTAAATACTTCATTCGGATTGAGGTACGTAAAGTGTAACAAATCGGAGTCTTTTTCACAATTAAAATTTTTTTTTTTTTAACATAATTTAAGAAGAAAAAATTATAATTTTTAATGAATTTTGTAATGAAATTTGTGTTACTAAGATAGAATGGTCATTTTATAATATTTCGTTTTAAATTGTGTTTCTGAGACTTGTTTAGCTTATAAAAAATTGGTATAAATCTATTAAATTTATCGTTACGAATATACTAGTAATGTCTCGTTACACATTACGCGTTTGACTTCCTTCCGTCATACGTTTTGATTTCTCGCCACGAATGTCGGTGTAATAAAGAACGTTTACGATCGCATGAATTACGATCCGTTGCACTGAATTCCACAATTTATACGATATGACAATACTGTCATGCGCGTCTCATTCTATAGATGGCAGCGGGCTGACAAAGTCGTTAAATGTTAATCTCTCTCTCTTTATGTCCTGCCAACGTACTGTAGTCATTGTGCAGTATTCATCTATAGAGGGTGTTTTATATAAAACATCAAAAGCCGACATTCAGACTGTTTTATTTTACGACGTGAGTATGTCTAAAGCACTTCTCCATTATCTTTACCACGCGTCCACGCGTCAGAATCGCGTGCGCAATCTTTACTGATTTTAAAATAGTTCCTGTTATTCTTTATTTCTATAGAGAAATAATTTTTGAAGAAGGACGAAGAAAAATCTCATATTTTATTTATTTTTATTAAGTGCACTTTAGTGCATTGGAACAACTCATAAATATCTAATGTAAAAAA